GGAAGGAAGGAAGGAAGGAAGGAAGGAAGGAAGGAAGGAAGGAAGAAAGAGAGAAAGCAAGCAAGCAAAGCAAAGCAAAGCTGTTGACTTTGGGTTACCTGGTAGTTGAAAAGAACATTTGCACCTCTGTGTTTGGACTTGAAACTTAAATACTTCATTCTTTTTGCTTTGCCATCTTTGCTAATTATCTATAATTCCTAAAGGATTTAACTTAATTAACCCAGTGTTAAAACAAGGACCTATAAATGGAGATTTAATTTTAAAATATCCTTTTTATAGACTAATGTTTCCAGCATAATGAATTCCCTATATAATGAAAAGTTTGATTAAATGAGAACCTATAAAAATACCATAATAAAAGATTTCTGCAGAGATCCTGAACAGATTCACAGTGTGGCCAAGAAGTATTTATAGCTTAGATATATTTAAATAATTTATTTTAAGCTTTGCCAAAGCAAAGCAAAATAAAAAGCATATACAAGAAATAAAAACAGTGTATCTGCTTGAAAGAATTGAAAATTGCTAAATATGGGGCTAGGGTCTGTCGTCTACCAACTTGCAAAGAGCTGGCATCTATTCTACCACAAGAGGACGGTAGCACTCAACTATTAAGAGAAAATACCACAGCATGCCTGAGCCTTCCTTAGAAGGGTAATTGGAACCATAGTTAACACATCGATCTCCAAAAGCACAAAAAACCAGGCGCCACATCCCAGATAGGTTTGGAGCTTTTTGTCCCTGACAATAATAAGTCAGGAAATAAGCTACTGGGTCTTAAGAAAGGAAGCGACCTCTCCCTCCATTCTGGTGTGCTTGACTCACCATGGAGATGGCTTAAGATAGGGTCTATGCATTTGGATGTTCAGCTAAGAACACTGGCAGGCATCATTGGTACAGAGCTCTTTAATTGGTATTCAGAAAAGGTAGAATAAAGCTGTGAGGAATAGCAGAACTGTTTTATCTCAGAAAATTAGTTAGACCCAGTTTAGGTGTTTCCTAAGATAAATTTGTATTTTATGTAGAGTCATAACACTGGAACCTTAAGATATTCAAAGTAATCTTTGAAAACCTATAGAATTACCTTTTATTTTTATTTTTTATTTGATATAGGGTCTCACTATGCAGTTTGAACTTATAGTGATCTTCCTGTCTCAGCCTCCCCAGCTGAGTTTCAGTGCCAGCACAGCATACCAGGATTTCTGGGGCTGTTATGGCATGTGATATCAGGAATCAAAATCGGGTCCTTGCGCTTTCCAGGCAGGTGGTTAGACTGCCAAGCTATCTCCCCATTCCAAGCATTATCCTTGAAAGTTTCCAGGAAGCTAATTAATACCAAGAGACAGAAGTATAACAAAAAAACTCAATATTTTATTATGTATTTTGGTTGATCTAACAATGCTCATATAATGAAATGAATTAGATGTATTAAATGTGTTCCTATGACTAGCATCTGTTTTTGTCTTTATGATAATTGTAACTAAAGTTATTGAGCTATAATCTGGAAAAACTTTTATTATTTGAAAACCAGATTCAATTATTCCTCTATTTAATGTTTTAATTCAACATTTATTGAACAGTTAAAATTGAGTGTGAAGACAGTACCTCTGTTAAAAGAATCTTAGAAAACTAATTGCACCCACATTTTAAAGTCATCTTCAAATAAAAAGAGTTGTGAATGGTGTCCATATTTTATGTCTTTTGTATCACATACTATAACTTGTTATAGTAATACCTTCAAAACCATAGAAAAACTAGACCAAATGCAAGAAATCTTTGGGTTGGGAGACAGGAAATAAAATGGTTTCTGTCTTTAAATTACAATAGATAATGATCAGTGTTAATAAGCTATGGATAAACTTTAAAACACTTACTCAGTTGTATTTAATTTTTTAAATCTTATTTATTTTTGGTACCAGGAACCAACTCATGACCTTGTGCTTGCTAGGCCAGTGTTGTGCCACTGGGCTATATCCCTGGCCTTGTTTATTCAACTTAAATCAGCAAATATTTACTTGGCTAGGCACTGAGTTAGACAGTAAAAATAACAAAAGTGAACATCATGGGTGTTTTTCCAGAAGAACTGAAAACCTCATACCACAGCGATAGATGTACACCCATGTTTATAGCAACGCAATTAGTCATAGCTAAATCCTGCGAACAACCCAGATGCCCATCAACTGAAGAATGGATAAAGAAGTTGGGGTATTTTTACACAATAGAATATTATTCAGCTACAAAACAGGATAAATTTGAGTCTTTTGTTGGTAAATGGATGCAACTAGAGAACATACTCTTAAGTGAAATAAATCAGACCCACATGTGCAAACATCGTGTGGTCTCCTTAGTGTGAGAACCTGAAAGAAAAAAATGGAATCTGAAGGGTACAATAGGTACTGGGAAAAGGGAATGAACTTATTCAAAAGGAAAGAGTTACTGAGTTGAGGAGAAGGAGATGGAGATGGAGTGGGGAAAGAGATTTATCTATGTATGTAAGCAGGATGGTTTGGACAACTGTATTGTGCTTTTCCAGTGGCCTATGGAAAGAAGCAGATAAAACTTAATTTGTTTTGTCTCTTTTTTTCAATTGTTTATACTTTTTCTCTTCTTAATTTCTTATACATTTCTTTTTCTTTCTTCTTCCAATTTTACATGCATATATCTGGTAATATGAATAACTGGTTGGAAGACAACACTCTGTATTACAACAAATACTGTGAAATTCATATTACTTTATTAGGTGAAATTCTGTATCACTTGTAAGTTTTTCTGTTTTAATTCTTATTTGTACTCTGTAAAAAAAATAAAAATTTAAAAGAACAAAGCATAGACCTGAGCATAGGATGTCCTTGAAATTAGTATTAATTAGTATTTTTGAGCAACTACTCTGTGACAGGTTTTTCTCATTATTCACATCATAAACCTGAAGCATTATCGCTATTTCATGGAAAGAAAGAAACTTGGTCTCAGAGCTATTAAATGGTATGCTGAGGCCGGCCAAATAGCTCAGCAGATTGAAGCACCTGCAAGCAGGTGCAGAGGCTGGGAGGGTTCGATCCCCAGGCTTGCCATGCTGGCCCCACCCCCAGGGCGCTCTGAGATGGCAAGTGAGACTGCGTGTGGTGGCAGGCACGTGTAATCACTGCTCTTGGGAGGCTGTAAACAGGCGGATCACTACAAGAGACCCTGAACACCCTGTGGACCCTTCCCTAAAAAACACAAAAAAAAAAAAAAAAAAGGTACACTGAAGTTCACAAAATTAATTGCGATAGAATCAAAATCAGAACCCAGATCTTCTCAATGCTAAGGCGTATATTTTTTCCATTGGACGATTCTATCTGAATATTATTCCCTAAGAAAAATAATTTTTATGACTGACAGTTTAGCAACTTTTAGTTTAACAAATGTAGCTATATAATGATGGGCAGTAACTGTGTATTTTTTAGAAATAGAATCAAAAATATTTTGAACATGTCAGTGTAAAGAATAACACCTATGTAGTGATTAAAAAGCTACATTCTATATTCAACCTTAACGTTATACTGTGCTTGAATCAGACATTTTCAAAGAAACAAAAATAATAGGATCAGTTGAGGTTTTCTACCTCTCCCTCACCCTAGTCTCTTTTCCCATAATATTATTATGAATTTGGTTATCAGTTTAATACAATCTCTTCCTTTTACTGCATCCTCATGCATTCATAAACAATATAATACTATTCCGCAGGTTTAAAACCACTTGTTGAGTGTATCCAGATGGACATAATGCACCTTACTTACACTTTACTTTTGGGTCTCAATATGTTTTGAGATTTATCTACAATGATGTGTGTATATCTATGCATCTATAGCTATATATTTCTTCAATGGTTAACTACTGTGCAGTATTTTATTAATTGAATATATTAAAGTATATCTATCCACATTCTTATACCTATATCCTTAAACAAGATCCTGCTATGGTTTGACTCAAAATCTATTTTAATCATAATGCTAGAATGTATTTTCATAATAAAAGTACAAAATTAATTATACTAACTTATTTTTTTGATGCAGATTATTCCCGAATTGAAGTATGGAAATTTGGTAATACTGTCATTGAACTCCTATACCACTGGATGCACATCTGTTCAGCTCTCATGAAGCTAACCAAAAAACTAGACAGCGCCATTCGACCTCCGTTTCCCTCCAAGTCTGACAACTACATATATGCAAAAATGCCAGGGGAAACTTTAGCAGGACAATCCTAGCAGAATTGGTACTCTATACAGTACTTTGATCATGTTCACTGCTGTTAACTTTAGTTTTCAAGTGCAAAGAAGGCCATATAGACCTATTTGGCTCTTAGACATTTAATTTGGTACTTTTTAAAACCAGAAGCACTACTTATGCAGAAATTTTATCTAAGAAATACCTGGTTAAGGTAGCTATAACCAAATGTATTTAAGAATATTATAAAATGTGTTTTTAGTCTCCTTGAGGTATAAGCTTTGGACATGCCATGAGACTGTTATGGTTGATTGGGTATTTTTCATTCTTTTAAGGTACAAAGTACAGAAAAGTTGTGGAACTATATAAAAATGGCAGGGTTTTTTTTTTACATCAAAAAGTACCAAATAATAAAGATTTTAAGAAATACACTTGGAATTGTTTTCCTAATTTTCCAAAGACTTATCTGAATTCCCCTTCTCCCCCACTCACCTTTCCTTAACAACTTAAAAGTCACTTTAATAAACAGAAATTCTTGTGGGGAAATGTTGGGCCATAACTCATGGAAAAATGAAAACCATGTTTTTTAAAAAATAACAAAAACCTCTCAAGTTTGAGAACTACAAAACAAACATTTAAAGCTTGTTATTATGGCAAACTTTATTGCTCTATTGTGAGATTCCATCTTTGCAATAAGATATCTGATGACAGAGTCCAGTTTTAATAAAATTTTGGGAAATTAAACTTTATTTTCTTAGGTTGACAAAATGTGATGTGTTCCAAAACTCTTATAATTGAAGATCGAAAGTCCCTTTTTAACCTTTTCTGATAAGACGGCAGTGTTATTACCAGTCCTCATCTTTTGGATGATCTCATGCCCAGTTTTAACCTATCAGCCTCTTTCATATTTGGAGGAGGACATCTTCGGGCATTTGCAGCAACGTCTCTAGGAACAATGTCTTTGAAGATATTAAACTGATAGCCATATTCCGGCTTCAGAACAAGCTTATGAAAAATTTACTATGAATACAAATAACATTTAAGGCAGCAAGGGAAGATTTTGCAGAATGCTCTGTATTTAACCATTGTCATGGAAATTAACTAAGTGACCTGTAGCTGAATAACAAATATCATGCATTTTCTTGACACTTTAATTTGAATTATTTTCATCCACTAGCCTATTTGATCTTCCCAATAATCTAAAAAGTAAATATTCCTGGTACTATATTTTATAAATGAGGAAACAGCCTCAAAGAATGAGTTGTCTAGTTCACATAGCTTGTAAGAAGCAGGGTAAGAAGGACCCAAGTACCTTAATTTCTAGTTTATTGCCTTTGCCAGCACCCCAGACATCTCACTAATACCTTTCAATTTTTTGAGTCTTGCTGTGTACCTCAGGCTGGCTTTGAATGTGCAGTGATCCTGTTTCAGCCTCCTGACTACTGGGATTACAGGCATGCACAACTGTTATGGTTTTTGTCTAGTTGTCCCCCCAAAGCCTCATGCAGTCATGGGGTGGGGACTTCTAGAGTTTGAGATTAACTCATGATCCACTGGGATTATAGGTCTTAGTACTGCTGAGATTATGGGTGTGAATGCTACACCCAACCTGAGACAGAAAGCCTGAGAGCAATATAAGAGACAGAGACAGACTCTCTCTGTTGCCATTGTTGTTGTTTTGCCGCCATGAACTGAATGCTCTCTGCCCAGTGCCACTCGGCCTTGCAGCCAGCCAAGTACGGACTGAAACCTCCAGTAACTGTGAGCTGAATAAGTCTTTCCTCCTTTCATTCTGGGTGTCAGGTATTCATCCCAGCAATGAGAAAAAAGTAACTGAAACAACCAGCATGCCAGGCTTCTAAATTTCTTACTAGGCTAATGACCACACCATCAGTCTTTTTAGAAACTAATTTAAAATTAAGCAGCCAACATGCCAAAATAGTTGAATTATAAACTATCATATCAAAGTAAAATGCCACCCTTTAATATCTAGAGTTTAATTTTTTAGTGAAAAAGATGTTATTTATACTTGACAATTATTTTGATACAGATTATATCTAAATCCATTTATTTCACTGTTAAAGGGGCATCATTGTGGATATCCCTGACCATGTTTTTCTGATTAAAATGTATATTTTAGCATGGTGGTAGCCAGCAGTGTGTCTCCAAAGCTGCACTGGATTAATACAGAAAGGAATCTTTGTGTTCACTGACGCAGTACAATGAACAGCAAGATGTACAAAGTGTAGATGGGTGAGTTTCATCAATATTATACATTGGGTTTTTACCAAGATGGCACTGAAAGTGAAAAAGGAAACCCCTGCCCCTCCCAAAGCTGAAGCCAAAGCAAAAGCTTTTAAGACCAAGAAGGCCACGCTGAAAGGCGTCCACAGCCATAAAAAGAAGATACAAACATCGCCCATCTTCCACCATTCCAAGACACTGTGGCTCCAGAGGCAGCCCAAATACCCTCTGAAAAGTACCCTCAGGAGAAACATGCTCGACCACTATGCCATCATCAAGTTCCCCCTGACACAGAGTCAGCATGAAAAAGATCAAGGACAACACCACACTCCTGTTCATTGTGGATGTCAAAGCCAATAAGCACCAAATCAAACAAGCTGTAAAGAAGCTCTGTGACATCGATGTTGCCAAGGTCAATACCTTAGTCAGCCCTGATGGAGAGAAGAAGGCATATGTTCGACTCGCTCCTTATTATGATGCATTGGATGCTGCCAACAAAATTGAGATCACCTAAACTGAATCTAGCTGGCTAATTCTAAATACATACTTTTTTCCCCATAAAAATATTATGTGTCATATTACATTTTATGTATTTATAATTTTTATTATCTGTTTTCTTTTGATTTTTCTTATAAATTAGACCAAGTCAATATGTCAAATGAAAATCCTCCCAGTTCAACTTTGGGAGGAGGTTGAAAGTGACTCATTAGGTGATTCAGCTACCAATGATGACTTAGATCATGTAAACCAAAGAAGTTAGCAAGATATGACAGATACAGAGGTACAGAATGAAGATCTTGATTTGGATGAGGAAGAAAACAATAATGTAAATAAATATTTGACAGTCAAAATGTTACAAAATGTTTACATATAACTTAACAGTCCATCACTTCTCTGACTTTTGGCTAATATCAAAAGTAGCATCTGTTCTTATTAGTTTAGTAACTGAACAGTCTAACCCTAGAATTAGGTTAGAAAATGTTCTTAGGTTCATGCCAGGGTGAAACCCATTGGACAGTGTGCCAGTTCTGTGATTCAGTGTTGGAAAGTGTTTGTAACAGACAATGAATCAGTGTTTATAACAGACAATATGCTACAAGATGTTTTTGAAATGCACTAATAATGAAATGCAAGTCAAAGTAAAACATTCTATATCCATTAATAGTAATACTCAAAAATATATTTATCATGACATCTCACTATGTGAACCAGAAGCCTTCATAGCAGGACTCTAATTAGATTCTAATTGTCAGACTCTAAAGGATCTATGGAGAAGTAACAGATGTGGCATTGCGATTTTTAGAACAATAATGACACTCAAGAAATTTGGTTTCTTTCAAAATTGCCCGTGTTAGGACAATGAAAAGATCATCCAAGAAAGAAAAAAGGAAAAAATCCAACAATTTGGCTGCTATTTGCTCATTTTTTGAAAGTTTTGTTTTGAACTGTTAATTTATAAAGTCTCAATATATGACAATTGATAAACAACATGCATCATTTCATGGTTGTTGATGGTTGTTTTATTATGTGCCAAATAAGCCTTCCAAATGTGGCATAAAAATATATGCTGTGGTAGAAGTGAAGGCACGTTACACCTTGAGTTTAGAAATTTATCCTTGAATTTGGCCAATGTTTTTATTCTCGCAGTAATAAAGCATATGATCATATGGTGAACAGATTTCTTGCACCTATTTAAAAAGTAACCCATGTCACATTCAACAATTGGTCCACAAATTACCCATTGATATTAGTACTTGCTAAAGAAAAAAGTCAGTTCACCAGTATAGGAATTGTTTAGAAGAACAAAGTGGAGATTCCTGAAAAAATGTTGCAAGATCACAATAGAGAAATACATAGTATTCCAAGGGCAAGCAGAAACACCAAAATGACACCTGGAATTTGGAGGTGTATTTGTTATACATTCATGGGTAGTGATCAGGATCATTCCCAGAGTATCAGGCTCTGCTCTCTGGTGTTCCAGGACTATATGAGATAACCAACAGGTAGGACAGAGGCAGAATGGCTTTTCAGTTGGAAATTGGGTTTTACAACCAGAACTGGAACAGGAACTGATACCTGGGCAACTAACAAACTGAAGTATATTGGCAGGCAGAGGGGAGAATTTTCTGTATTATTTCCCTCTTTTAGTTTCCCTGGAAAATCTTTGCTGGACATGTTACATATGATCTTCTGAAACAAGGCCCAACTTAAAGCAGTCAATGATCTTAGGATGGGTCCTAGCCAAACTCCACAAGATTGTCTTACCACTTGATGTTTTTGGTGGATGTATCAAAAATCAAGAGAATCCTGAGGGGATGTGACTGACCTTGTCAGATACGAAAGCTACATTTTTTGTTATGTAGGTCTTGCTTTATCTTGGTCTTAACCATCCAGCAGAAAAGTATAAAAACGAGGCACAAGAAGTAAAGCCATATTAATATTGAGCTGTAGAAGACTCAAGTCAACAACTTCTGACACTGCCAGTCATGCAGATAACCCACTACTACTATAGACTACAGGCTATATTGGATTATTCTGCTGAATTCATATACCAACAATATATGAATGGCAATGGAATACCCATCTCTGACAAAAGTAAACAAAAAAAGGGATATAAATGAAGGACCATTTTGTAATGGAAAAAAAAATATATATATATGTATATACAAAATAGCATAGATATACAGCTACTTTCTCTTAGTTCAATGAGAAGAAAATTTTGAACTAATAGTGTTTAGACAATATATCATGTCTGCATCTTGATAACTACTACAAAGACAACAATATGCAATGTATTAATTATTGCAACTGTACTACTAACCTGTTCTGAAACTATCTCATTGCTACTTCTTTCTCAA